GATTGAAAGCAAAGGGCTAAACCTTTAAAAACCTGAGTTCTTGAGCTGGATCTATGTGGCCTGGGGCATGTAAATTGTCATATCTTAAAGGAATCAGTTTAGTTTGACAATTTAAATGAAATGCACAAATTCCTTGAAAATTATAACTTTAAATTAGCAGAGGAAATAGAATATCTAAATACCCTTGCATTAGTTAAGGAACTGAATTCATAATTTAAAAACTCTCCCTATCTCCCCCACCTCACGACTACAAACATATTTCATCAAATATTTAAGAACAAAACAATGCCAATATTATGCAAATTCTTTCAGAAAATAAATGAGAGGGGCTGGGGATTTAGCTCAGTGGTTCCACTTCCTGCCTCGCAAGTGCAAGGTCCCGAGTTCAATCTCCAGTACCGAAAAAAAGAAAAGAAAAAAAATGAGAGAATTGCCTGACATTCATATTGAGGTCAGTATAATATGGGTAAGAAAACCTTGTGAGGACATGATAAAAATAACATAGACATAAAATTCCTTAACAAAATATTATCAAGTAAGATTTACCAATACATAACAATGATAAGTCAGTTGAAATTAGAACAGTGGGTAATTACCTTCCACTCTCCCATATCAAACCCTTGGCAGACATCAGTAATGGATTCTTTGTTTTTTCCAGTTGAATCATTCTCAGACTAACTCTCCAGGCAGCCACTATCAACCAATTAAATTTGGCACACGAAAGGAAATCTATTTGATATCATTGAACTAACTGGATCCTACCAATATGAGGCTGAGATACTATAATTCTATTACAGTGCACCCTTGACTTGAGAACTCAATTCATTCACAAGAGCTGGTCATAACTCAAGTTAGTCAGTTGAAGACTCAGGCTCCTCTACACAGCCTTAAAAGTCTCTGGCCTGTATACAGGCAGATCTCAGTGTTCTTAGAGTGGCCCAGGATCTCTCAATTAACCCCACACAGGAAAGGATGTTGTCATGTTCCTTCCAGAACTTTTTAAGGGTTAAGTCTGTATCTGAGACCATCTGGAAGCACAAGTGGCTGGCATTTGGGTTGTAACTTTAGAGTTTGGTCATAAGTTAAAACTAAAACGCTGGTTGTATGTTTGTATGTCAGGCCAGTCGTAGCTTGAAGGCCCACTGTATTGTATTAAAATTTTGAGGTCATTTTACTGGCAAGCATTTTCCTCAGTGTGGGCTGAATTATTCTAGATTAGACGTGAAAGAGCAAGAATCAGTTTTTTTGAGCAATCTATACAAAAGAAATCATAAAATACTAAATGCCTAAAAAGACCATAACCTTGTTTGTTCTCATTTACTGCTGTGTTCCCAGCCCCCAAGGACAAAGTTTGACACAAACATCTATGATTGTTGAATGAATGAATGAATTCTGAGGAAAGCAGACAAGTGGTTCTATCGTCACAGTGTTGCTATGGTTACTACCATTGAGTCAAGGAAAATCAGTCATAAACGTTGAGGCCAGTGATTGGGGTCCAGCCTAAATGAATGGATCTTTCCATGTGATGTTCAGGAATCTACATGCTGATTATTCTTATATGAATAAGTTTACCTTTGTCTCTCCTCTGGGTTGGAGACACATCTACCTAGTTACTTCCTTGATATTTTTACCTTGTTGCCTCAACCATTCCTGAAGCTCATATTCTATTACAGACTATGTTGTCTTTCTGCTCTCCTGTGCCCAAATCTAGTCCTTCTTCAGAGTTTTCCCATTGCTGTAAGACTCAAAACCATCCATCCAGTTATACAGGTCACAACTATAGAAGACAGTCTGAGCACCTTTCTCTTCCTCATTCTCTACATCCTAATTAGCTGTCAGACATATCCACTTTTCTCTGTCTTCCTCTTCACCACCCTGTTCTGAGCTCCACAATTCCTTGCTTGGAAGATGGCAACAAGGTGCTGATTGGTCTCCCTGTATCCATCCCCTTCCACACCATTCCACACTTTGCATCTTGAAGGATCTGTCCAAGATATAAAGTAGGTTATTGACTCCCTGTTTAAAACCTGTAGGTGGCTTCTCATAAGAGAGTCATAAGAGAGCAATTCTCTAAATTGCTCTTCAAATCTTTGGATGATCACAACCCTGCTGTCTTATGCTGCACACACCACTCATCTCTTATTTTCTCTGTGTTTATCCCACTGACTTTACGATCCACCAACATAACATGCTCCTCCCCATCTGTCTGCCCAGAATTCCCTTTTCTCTCTCCTTATCTAGTTAATTCCTACACACCATTCAGATTTCTCATTTCTTTCTGGTGAAAGACTTCTCTAACCTACTTCCACCTCTTTCCCAATAGGTTGTTATAGACTCTCAGAGAATCTGTTTCATTCTTTCATCTAGTTTATGATGAAATATGTATTGATTAACATCTGCTTTTCCAAGTAAACTCCATTTGGGCAGAAATAATGCTCATTTTAGCTACCCTTATATCTCCAAGGGCTTACCACAGTGCCTTGCACTCAATAGATATTCAATAAGTCATTGATAAATGGTGAATGAGTGAATGAATAAATGAATGAATGAATGAATGAATGAAGAAAAAGTCCAGTTGGCTTTGGTAGTAGATTAGGGTTTCTAAATCTCAGCACTATTGACATTTTGGATGGAATAAGTCTTTGTTGGTGTATGTGTGTATGTATGTGGGTTTATTCAAAGCAGAATGTAATATTTAACAGAATTCTTGGCCTCTGCCCACTAGATGCCAGTAATGTCTTCCCCACTCTGACAGCCAAAACTATCTCCAAACATTGCCAAATGTTCCCTGGAGGGAAAAATTGAGAACCACTGTGGTAAATTGTATTAAGTATTCAAAATATTTGGTTGACATTTTTGGCTATGTTTCTTTGTTGTCCTGTGCCTTGTAGGATGTTTAGCAATATCTCTGGTCATTAGCTACTACATGTCATAGTCCTTTTCTAGTTGGAAAAGTCCTTTTCTAGATGGGTTGATAGACCCATCTCGCTCCCTTCTGATGTCCCTCCCTCTGTGATAAGTATATTTTTTTCTCCATTGATGTTGTAGTTGGCCCCATGAGTTGCTTTGGCCAATAGAATTTTAGTAAACATGACCAACCTACCTGGTCAGAAAAGTAGGCCAACAGAGATTCCAGTACTACTCTTTCCCTTCAGGCTCATAACTGAACATGGGGCTCCCCTTCATTCAGTTCTGGAATAAAAAAGACAAAGAAAAGAGCCAAAATCAAATTGCAGGTGACATACATGAGCAGTGAATGCTGTTGTAAGCCATAGACATTTTGGAGTGATTTTTAGTGATTTGGCCAACACTGACCAATATGGGATGAGAATTGATCTTGCATATTCTTCTTTAGGACATATGATTGGTAGGGTAACAAAGGGAAGAAATATCACTCAGGGTCAAAGCTCTAAGGTATTTCTTTAGGTTCTTACTGGAATTTCAAGAGTTTGGCATCTACCATGATTGCTGAGCAAATTTCTTTTCTCACTTCTATATTTTCCCTTTCCCGTAATCCCATTACCAAGTCTGAGTATGCTTCCACTTTTTGCAACCTGAAAGAAGACAATAAAGCATGATTGTGAGTGTGATACAAGTAAGGAGAAATATCTTTTGTATTCATCAAGATATCCCCAGAATTAGTATACTATTGAATGGGATAGTCAGTCACTATATATTCATTGAATGACTGAATGATCAGTAGAGAATGTCAACAGTGTTCCTTCCTTCTAGTTGGATTATGGTCAGCAGCCTATTAGCATAAGGAACATGTGTCACTTTTAGTCTGAAAAAGCTAAGACGGGACAGTTCTTCATTTTCTGTCTATCCCATTGACATAGAAGAAAGTATAGAAGTTTAGGAGGCAGAATTTCAGGTGGAAGCATCTTGAAGCTCTGCAGCACAATCACAGGAAAACTCCCAAGGACATCTGATGATCAGATCCAAATTCTCATGATGGATTATTATCCAACCCTGTGGTTCCCAAGTGGGAGTGATTTTGCCCCCTACTTTCCACTCACCCACCCAGGGTATAAAGTAAGTAAATGTATGAAGAGTTTGTGTCTTTACCAAATGGAAATAGATAATTGAAGATGCAATGTCCAAATGGAGAGAGTTAGTGCCAAGTAGCTCTTATGAGTAGAGGTTGTCATTCTATGGCTGGTGGATCAAATCTGGGCCCTTACTAGTTTGTATAAAGTTTTATTGGAACACAGCCATATTCATTTGTTTATGAATTGCCTGTGGCTGCTTTTGCATTACAAGGACACAGGTGAGTGGTTGCAACAGAGACCATATGGCTTGCAAAACTTAAAATGTTTGTTATTTGGCTCTCCATAGAAAAAGTTTGCCAATTCCCATTAAGAGGGTGGGTTTGAGTCCCAGCTCCAGTATTCACTAGCTGTGTGACATTGAGAAAGTCATATCCCCTCTCTGAACTTTAACTTTCTCATCAATCAAATGAAGAGAGTCATAGGACCTATTTCATATGATTGTTTAAAGATTTAATGAGCCCAAGTGCTTTGCATATTACCTGGCTCACAAAATATATTTGATAAGTGGTAGCTATCTTAATTATATTTGGGCATCAAATTATTCATTTATTTATCAATTTAACACATATGCACTAGGCTCTGACTGTGTGCCAGACAGACAGTCATGTAGATAAAAGATGGAGCAATACTTAATCCCTACCCTCAAGGAGTTTACTTTTTTTGTGTGTGTGTGTGTGGTACCAGGGATTGAACTCAGGACCTTGCACTTGCCAGGCAGGGATGGTGCCCCTGAGCTAAATCCCCATCCCTCAACGAGTTTACCTTTAAATGGAGGAAAAAGATTTTTAAATGATAGCCATTACTAAGTTTTTGTTATAAACAAAATAGTAATAATAATAATAATAATAATAATAAATAAAGCCACTTGTTGGGCTAGAGGCAGAAGCATGTACTTTCTTGGGGTCTGGCAGTGACTTTTCCTCCTTCTTCACAGACACTGGCAGCCCACAAGGGAACATGTTCATCTTGAAAGCACCTGGCAGGGAAGGCATGGATGGGGCTGGCTTGGTGGAAAGACCCCATTTCTCAAACCCAGCTTTCTGCACAAAATTATTCAAAGGGAAACCTTATCAAGCAGCCTTCTAGCTCAGTGTCATCCATCTTCCAAAGGTAATTCAATAGCCCTTGGTAGCTGATGATTTATGGGGCGGGTGGCTGCGGGGAGGTTGCTCTTTGTATTACAGCCTGTATTTTATCAATGACTAGCAACCTGCTGGCTGGGGCCAGAAGCAATAGGCTCTTTGTTTAATACTGTTAACCCAGGCCTTAGCTGCGGCCATCTCTGGGCCAGCAGAAGGCTGATGGCTACTTGGGTAGATGAGAAGATGTGATCATTCTAAGTTGAGAGCAAAGAAGAACCACTAGGTCTTAACACAGTAGAATCCTGTCTCCTATAAGAAGTTGTTTTGGCCTCCAAGCCTCATTTGGTCAATACTCTAGTCTTGTGTGGGGAACTGGTCATCCTGCTTTTTGGATGAGAAGCCAAAGCTGAGATGTGGTTATTCATCTTGTGCCTAGATTAAGAAAGCAGAAGGAAATTCTCTGTGAGGAAGACCAAGGCATTGTCTGTCTCTAGTATCCTGGTTTTGGCTTTTTGTCTGACTGATGCTTGTCTCTGAACATGCCAAGGCAATCTCTATGAAGCTCAAACCTTGCATTCATGTGCATACTTCATTTGAAGTACCTAGCACTGGGCCCAACACACAATAAGTGTTCATTAACGACTAAAGAATAAATGGTCCCCAACTTTTGCATATGGTGCTGTCTATTCCTGAAATACTACCCATCCCATTGTTTTGTTCACCCTCAGTTGTCCTTAAGATCACAGTTTAGATGTCATCTTGTACCAGTCAATATATAATCTGGAAAAGAGAAATTGTGCCAGCTAATTTAACCAAGAGAATTTAATGCAGAGAACTGGCTATCTATTGGAAAGTAAAAAGGTAAAGAGGGAAGACTGAGGTCTGACATAGTAACTACAGTGGATTAGTCATGCATTTCTGCATAACAAATCACTCCAAGACTGGCAACTTGAAACCATGAACATTCATTACCTCACATTTTCTGTGAGTCAGAAAATTGGGCACAACTTTATTGGATCCTCTACCTCAGGATCCTTCACTAGGCTACAATCAAGGAGTTATCTGAGGCTATGATCTCATCCAAAATGTCATCTGGGAAAAGATCTGCTTCCAAGCTTGCTCAATCAGTTATTCGGTTTCTTCATGGACTGTTGGGTTGCAGACTGTAGTTCACTATCTGTTGGCTGGAGGTCTCCTTCAGTTCACTGCCATGTGGGCGTCTCTGTAAGGTAGCTGACACCATGGCAACTGGCTTCATCAGAGCGAGCAGGGAAGAGAGAAAGACCATGACTGAGGCTACAGTCTTGTTATTAAATTCAAGTAACATCCAGTCACCTCTGCTATTCAGAGGAAGTCCATTGTCTACTCCAGGGGAGGAGATTATACCTGGGGATAAATCCCTGGGGACAGGGATCACAGGGGCCATCTCAGTGGCTGACCATGAGAGGTAGAAAGAAGCTGATAATACACCAGAGCTTCATGGACAGAAGGAACAGCTTGGAGTTTCAAATCTAGATGTTTGGAAGAGGGTCCCCATAAGGCTGAGAATGCTGAGGAGGTGGTCTTGGATAGCTGATAGTGGACATGTGAGGTTTTCCAGGAGCCTGAGAGAAATACCTGGAGCCTAGAACTAAGTGCTAATTCTGGAACCATCTGGCTCTGCCTGGGATGTGGGGAGAACCACCAACAGTGACAGGGAAAGGATGCAAACATCTGCTTCTGTTATGTGTTGAATTACATCCCCCTAACATTCATACAATGAGTTCCTAACCCACAGGGCCTCAGAATGTGACAATATTTGGAAATAGGGTCATTGCAGATTTAATTCATTAAGAGACAGATTCAGTTGTGACTTAATCCAATATGATGGGTGTTCTGATAAAAAAGAGAAATTTGGACACAGACATGCCCACTGGATGAAAGATGTGGGAACAGGAGGGCAGAGATCAGGGTGACATTCCTGCTAGTCAACAACGCCCAAAATTGTTAGCAAACCACCTTGATCTTGGACTTTGATCCTCCAAAACTGTGAGGTAATAATTTTTTGTTGTTTAAGCCACTCAATGTGTATTTCAGTCGTTGCCCCTTATCCACATTTTTTCTTTCCATCATTTCAGTTATTCAGAGTCAATCACTTTCTGAACATTCCAGAAATTAAAGTGTTCGTGAGTTTTAAGTAACATTTTTTACAAGGTATTATTATAATATATTCAATTATATTTTCAGTTGTTGTTAATCTCTTACTATGCCTAATTTGTAACAAAGCTTATCATAGATATCCTTACACAGGGAATAACAGTATATAGAGTATTCGGTACTATCCATGGTTTCAGGGGTTTGGAATGTATCATTGATGGATAAGAGGGTTCTACTATACTTTGTTATTACAGTTCAAAGAAACCAGCTCACTGTTCTTTAGGTTTGAAGTCATCTCCAGCACCATCCATCTTACAGCACTCACCAGGGATGCCTTAAGATGGCTGCCATCCAGAATCCCCACACAGATCACAGAAGAAGGGGTGGAAGCTGAGCGATGGTAGCAAGATAGTCTTTGAGGAAGCATTTGGTGACCTCCTTCTTTCTCACCACACAGGCCCTGGCTGGGTCTTTTGCTCTCCTCTGTGTCTCCTTGGTCCCCATACCATCTTCTGTGCAGGCACTTACCATATCTCTTCGGCTTGCTTATATATTTTCCTAGACTAGTGGTCTCAAACCTTTTTAACATGAGGGCTGGCTTTGTAGAAGACAATTTTCCTATGGATAGGGGTGGTGGAGTGGTTTGGGGAATGATTCAAAAGGGTATGACCTGGATCCCAGTATATCCAAGAAATTTACAGTAGGGTTCATGCTCATGTGAGAATCTAATGCCACTGGTGACCTGAGAGGAGGTGAATCCAGGCAGGAATGTGCATGATGGAGAGGTGCTGTAAATACAGATGAAGCCTCCCTCTCACCTGTTGCTCACCTGTGCTGAACCTGTCTGTGTCCTGGTGGCCATGGATCTGTACCTGTCTGTGTCCTGGTGGCCTAGGTTTGGGGCTCCCTTTCCTAGACTATGAGTTTCATGTGGGCAGGCATTCTATTCTTCTTGCCTCAAACTATCTCTGGGGCCAAGCATGGTTTCAGGCATATAGTAGGTTAGCAAACAGCATTAAATTGAAGGGAGGGAGGAAGGAAGGAAGGAGGGGAAGGATATAGGGAATAAGGGAGGAGGGAGGGAGGGAGGGAAGGACGGAGGAAGGCAGGGATGAATGATTATAGAAGAGAGAAAATGATGCTTTAAGGCAGGATGGCTGAGTTAGATTTTAAGAATTATATTATCTCATTTAGTTCTTTAATAAACCTATAATGCAGGTACTTTTATCTCCATTTTGCTTATGAGAAAACTGGAGATAAAAGAGATAAAATGATTTTCCCAATGTCACATAGATGGTAAATGGCAGAGCTAGAGTTTGGACTCCCTCTCTACTGCCTAGGTTTACTTTCCCACCACATTTTTAAAGCTATCATGTGTTAAGAATTTATAATATTCCAGGAACTGGATTAGATGCCATCTGCATATATCTACTCTATCCATATTTATATTATTACATTGCCATTTAATCCTCATTTCATAGAGTAAGCAGTGTTAATGGAGAGCTAGAAACCAAACTGAATATTCCACTTAAATCCAATTCCACTGTGCAGCCAGACAGCTGAAAATCAACCAATGTACATCCACTACAAGTGGATTGATAGATTGTTGATACATCTAATAGTTTGTTTAATTGATGGCTTCTGCCATTATTAGGGGAGATTTAAGAGGGGTTTTCATGATTATAAGACCAGTATCAATTAGTCTTGGAAGCAAGAATATACATACAAATGTTATTTGTCCTGTTGCTAAGCAAAACAAGCACCTATACTTGTAGCCAAAGCTTTAAGAATTTATTTAGCAAATATTTGAGCATGTAATACGTGTTTGGCATGATTCTCACAGCTGTGTGAGATATGAAAGTATATGATGCACTTCCTGTCCCCAGGGACCTTGTGATGTAGTTAAGGAAAAAAGATATGCACACATGGAATGTTAATTAACAAAACAAGGCCATCTAGGGTAAGCAGCAAATTAGTGGAGTGGACAGTAGAAAAATAGCACTTATGGGAATTCAGGGGACGGAGTGTTCATGATAATGATAATGAAAAAAATTAGTGTCATTTCATTAAGCAGTAATTATATTGAAGGCTCTGTACTAAATGCTTTATGTTTATTCCATTTTACAGATGAGAAACGGAGGCTTAAGGAGGTTAAAGGGCTTGCCCAAGGTCATCCAGCCAGTAAGCGATAAGAGGGACTTGATCTTGAGTTATCCCACACAGGAATGAACTCTTTATTACTTGCTGGGGTTTTACTCTGTATGGCCACAGGCAAGAGTCACTGTGTTGAGAGGCTGGAAAACAAAGTAATGTTTCTTAAAGTTGGTGACATTTAAACTGGGTTCTGAAGGATGAGTAAGAGTTCAAAAGTTAGAGAGCAAGAGAAGAAATACTGGGCCAGAGGAACAACCTATGCAAAACTTGTGTATTTGTGTCTTATCCATCCTTCCTCTTTTAGCAATGCCCACCACATACTCCTACTTTTTTTGTTTTTCATTTAAAAGTCATCCTTCCTCTCTTATGCATTCTCTTACGGGGAAGGGTTGGATATTTTCCCCTCTATTCTGCTGGAACTAGGCTTGATTCTTTGGGAGAGAAGTCTCTGTAATTCTAGAGTAGATCCATATCCATCAATTCTTTTAAACACTTGGAAGATAGGGCTGTAAGACCCCTCCTCCTTCAACACACACACACACACACACACACACACACACACACCTACCTACCTACTAGGAATGCTAGGAACATATTTTTAAGAGCTCCTTGGGAGGACTAAAGTGCTTATTGCCAATTTTAAAAATGCATTCTAAAAGAAAACAATAGCAGATGGAAATAAATTGCATTTCCTGCCCTGGGAGATCTTGAGCTGTGAAACTCACGTAACTGACCACT